CTCCTCAGGTATTTTTTAAAGTGCAGAAAGAAATCCAAGGGCTCACCCTCTCACCATCTCAGTGTTCCCCCAGATTTTAAGCGCTTCTGAGTTTTTAATCCCTGATTATTTGAACAGTACAGGTCTGAAGATGTGATCATGGGTCTGGATACTGGGAATCTTAAGTATTTGTCCTTATTCAGAACAATTTGGATGCTCCTTGTGCTTTGGGGTTTCATGTGTCCACAGATGAGGAAGATGGAGTGTTTTCATATATAACAACCTTGTTCTGTCTCCCCTAGGATGCAGTATATTTTCCCCAAAATCAGGTGTTGCGTTAAAGGTTTCCTGTATAAATATCCTTAAGTTAACTGCTGGGTATTACTAGGTGTTGTGCATATAATATAAATCATTTTATTTTACATTTTAGAAAAGGTTGGAAATGGGAATAGGAAGACTTGCAAGACATAGGTGACAGAATTAAATGTTTTCTTTCAGTAAAAGTGCCTATAAACGGTTGTTTTGTGGTTTCTAAGCTGCAAGACATGATTATAAAGCTTACTTTTATATAGTGTGGGCTTATGGAGGGAATATCGTTGTTTTTGTGTTGTTGACAGTATTTGTAGCCAGACCACTTCGTCTGTATGGAAGGTGTGCCTTTCATTCATTTATGTAGCTAATTTCTAAGGACTGTAGTTTCAACAGAGAAGTAAAACAAGCTTAGGCAATTTATGAGTTGAAGATGTAAGTTTACAATATGTAAACTCTTTAAAATATAACATACATTATGAAAATCTACTGCTTAATGTTTCAGTGAATATGAGTTAAAAATTTTATCGATCTATTTACCTTATCTTTGAAACTGCCATAGGAGAGTAATTATAATCCTGGAGTTTGTCTTCCTTCTAGATTTCATAATTGGATCAGACAAGCTATTTGGGAATCAATTTTAAAATACTAATTCAGAAAATGATAAAAATTTTAATGTAGGAGGTTTTACTTTAATTTAAAGAATTTGTAATTTAAAGAAACAAGGTACCACATTTAAAAGTGGAATGTTTTTCATAAAAAAATTGGTTGTACTTGAAAATACAATTTTCTCACATTTCTTCTGTAATCAGGCATTCAAAAACTAAATCCAGTAGAAATTCCTTATATTCTTGCTATTTGAAAAAGATACAAATACTTTAAAAGTTTTTATAGTGGTTACCAGTGGCATCAGATGAATTTATTGCTTGTAGATTAAGATTTGGTTGAAGGAAGATGTGTTTGATTAGAAGTGGAAATGATTTTTTTTTGGGGGGGGTTAGTTGTGGTGCTTGAACTCAGGTCCTGGGCACTGAGGGCCTAGGCACTGTTACTGATCTTTTTTGCTCAAGACTAGCATTCTACCATTTGAGCCACAGCTCTACTTAGAGTGTTTTTGGTAGTTTATTGGATATAAGAGACTTTGCTGCCTAGACTGCCTGAGATCTTAGCCTCCTGAGTAGCTAAGATTACACTGGTGCCCCACTGGAAAGAATTTTTTAAGCTATCGAACTGTAGAAATGATGTTTCTTTTTAATACTTGAAGTACTCGTAATATTTTTAAAATGCTTTTTGCTCTGGTGCTAGGGATGGAACCTACCCCCTCCCACATGCTAGGGAAATGGT